CCCCAAGTTGGCGTACATCTGCTTGCAGAAGGCGCGCTGCTGCTGGAAAGCCGTGTCCAGGGCCGTCTCCAGGCGCGCCATGTCCGTCTGGAACTGGACGTGGAACTCGCGGCCCACGGCGTCGTTGCGCTGCTCCAGCGAGCGCTTGCGGTCCAGCTTGTCGTGCACGCGCACCAGATCGTCCGGCGGCACCTTCCACGGTGGCCAGCAGCTGCTGCGCCTGACCGGCCAGACGGCGCTCCGTCTCGGCGCGACGCTCCACCAGGTGGCTCTGCTCGTCGCGCTGAGCCTGCGTCTGCTGCAGCGACTGCCGACGGCGGACAAGGTGACGAGGTCAGACGGACGGCGGACACGGCGGCGAGGTCGGACTGACAGCGGAGAGGTTCAGCCAGCAGACACCGACCAACGGGTACGGGCTGAGCCGCCACAGGAGGCGGGGAGCATACGCAGAGTCGCGGCCGCTGACGACGGCCGACAGGGTTGGTGGTCGTGGACAGCGCGGAGATAGCAGTCATGGTGGAGGGCAGAGCGCGAACCACATAGCAGGCAACCGGGGAACGACCTCGAACGCCAACACGTTGATCAAGTACTCCGGCATAGCCCAGCAAGACACACAGGCTGCACGGACAGGGCCGGCTTCCTTTAACAAGGTCAAGGACATACACGGCGAGCTTCCGTTAACAACGAATAAAATGTGGCAAGTGTTCCGACATGAGGACGTGGCACAGCAGCTGGCAGTAGCCCGGTGATAACGCCACATAACACCAATGTAACACGAGCCTCTACAGCGTACTGTAAACAGACGACAGATCGCAGGATATCACCATCCAGGTCCAGGTTTTTTTAGAGGTGCCGGATCGGATGCGAATGATGTAACCTAAGCGCTGGAAGCGATCAAATAACTTGACAGACCTCTGCACGGCCGGACAAGCCATTCCTGTCCAATACGAGATAAAGTAACTGGCATCACGCCCTTTTGATCATAAAAGCTAAAATCACGCGCGCCAAAACGACAGTTCCATAACGTCTAGCCCATCTATGCCCGTGTGTCCCGCACAATCCAATCATGACTACCAGCGCACAACCGCGCAGGCGAACAAAAACCTCGCTCGGTACCTGACCAACACGGCGCTCGACAACCGAACCGAAGCATGGGCCATTACACCTGAGAACTCGGCGCCTGCGGACACTCAGCGCGAAGGTCCGCACGGACGCGCGGCGAGGGCTGGGCTAGGAGCCAGCGTCGGCGAGCGCCAGCGGCGAGGAGTGGGTCGGCCCTCGGTAAACGGGAGCGCCCAGCGACGTACAACACCCAAGTGGTGCGGCAAGCGAGCTTCAGTTAACGCCAGTGGCAGGAGGCCAGGAAGCGTGGTACAGTACGTCACGTTGCCTTGCAGCCATAGACTGGAAGCCGACCTCCTCCCCGGGTCCGGCTGAGGTCACGTGACCCCGTGCCGCCGGCGGCCCCAGCGTGGCGACAATAACAAGAGCCGAGGAATACTCCAGTTTGAGCTCCCAAACCAACGGCGACAGTCTGCACCCACGAAAGACGCTGGCGCAACGGTAAAACGCCGGGCTACTGTACGCCGCAGCTAAAACCTCCACGTCATGCTCACAAAGACAACAAAAAAGACCGTAAATCAGAGGCAGCATAGGTGACACTGAAATGGTCAGCTTATCATTAAAGGAAGTGTCACCGACCATTTCCAATGCTCACAAAAAACGGATATTGACCCACTGGTTGCAATCGTCTTCAGTAAAAAAAACCTTCATGGTGCACGGACTTACGGCGCTAATGCGAGAAGCGAATACTGTGAGCTCTGAACCGTTCGCGTTGCCCACAGGAACACGTAACCGCAATGGTGAGGCCAGAAACGCTTTGCGGAGCTACAAACACGGTAACCAGTACTTGTTCACAGTCTGGCATCACAGGAACGCGACAACGCCTATCCAGCTATACAATATACCACCTACCGTTGACTACCGGTAGTCCTGGGGAAGATGAGAGCGGCTGCCCTCATCCGGCGAGGATGCAGTGGAAACAAACGAGACAAAGATCAAATATTCAGTTTCCTATCTTGCTTCGCGCGCAGTAATACTCGCCGACTGCATATCTTACTACACACGTTTCTAGTGGAAGTGTGTGAACAGTTTCAGGTGTCCTAGACATGTCGCGAGTGCTCGTTAGGCCATTTTCGACATCGTCAACAGTCAACTGATGGAGTCAGTAAACACCATCAAGATAGTGTAATTGTCTACAGTGACATCACCAGGGTATACACAACTCAACACGTAATTGGTGGTCGAGTGACCAGACCACCAGGTCAAAACGATGTTCAAGGGCGCCCAAGCGCTACCGCACGATAAGAAAATACACAGAGCATGTGTTTACACGCGAGCAGGGTAATTGGGGTACACCGCAAGCTTCGGCACTGGAAGAGGCTGCCTGGCAAGCGAGTGGGTTGGAATTCCCTTACGGCTGGGATTTCATTCAGAGCCGCTTCTGAAGCGTTTCTCCGGCCCTTGAACGCAAGGTCGGCTGACATCTGACCAGAGGTCGGCCTGGTCGGGGGACCAGGGGAGGGTTTCAGGCCTACTAACGGGAGGAAACGTAGCCACGGGCGGGGCTGCCCCCACTACACTGAATCAGCAATGGACAAAGTAGCAGAGCGTACGATTTCGGGAGGCTCAGACCTTGGTTAAAGTGAATCCACTATACCTGGGTCTGAGCTTTACTTTGTAGGGGCTTTCGGAAAAGAGCAGTTCATGCGACACTTTGCCCTCGACAAATTATGCGCTTGACATCCTTATATGAGGATGTCCTAGCCCGGCCGCCATTGCAGACTCCGGCCCACAACACCGAGGGCGTCACTGAAATAACCGGGACGGCAGGCCCAGACCTGATATTAATGGCGGCGTGTTGTGATTAATGAACGCCACTAACTCCGGGAGTACTAATTATACTACCTGGCACCGATCTGATAGCGGGACACCGCGCCGACTTGCCATCAGTCACATCAGAGAGATGCGGCCGAAATGGTCCCCGGCCGAACATGCCCACCCCAGGGGCGGGGCCGTCCGTAAATTTTGCTCGACTGCCCCGAGCCGACAGCACGGGCCACCGCGCGGCGCCAGCCGAGAGCCGCACTAAATAAGCGGGCGTCCACGTGTCGGGCCCGGCGGCGCCGGCGGCCGTAAAACAGAGTGGTGTCCTGCAGACGAGGTCAGGTGAGCGGATCGGCCGTCCGACGGCCGGGCGCCCCGGCCAGGGACGCCGCCCACGGAGGACCGGCGGCGTGGCAGACCGCGCCCAGACACTGCACACAGCCGACCGGTGCCATGGCAGACCCCGCCCAGAGACCGTGCACACGGAGGACCGGTGCCGCGGCAGACCCCGCCCAGAGACACTGTACACAGCCGACCGGTGCCGCGGCAGACCCTGCCCAGAGACACTGTACACAGCCGACCGGTGCCGCGGCAGACCCCGCCCAGAACACTGTTCACAGCCGACCGGTGCCGCGGCAGACCCCGCTCAGAGACACCGCACATGGAGGACCGGTGCTTCCAAACCCCGGCAGCACCAGCGGTGCGCCGCGCATGCGCAGCGTGGTCGCGCCCTGGGGTCCGGGGCTGGATGGCGGCGTTCGTGTCGAGTCTGGCACATGGGTACCGCTGATAACAGACAGACAGACGGGATTCCACAACACACGGCTGAAGACCACCGTGTTTTAACAACCACCACTGTTATCCGCGTACGCGCGCGAGCGCGCGCGCTCCCACGCACACCCACCCACACACGCCGCCCACACACCCGCCCACACTCACATCCACACACAGTGAGCCGTGTGACACCAGACCCGATCAGACAATGACCACAGGAGCTTTACATCAGCCAGCAGCAGCCCGCAGTCCGGACGTGCAAGCTCTCGGCGCTGCTTGTTGTGGGCGCTAAGTCCAACACATTAAGGTGAAACCGCCATTGCCAATTTGCGATCGTATGTATATGCTAAACACTTCGTTGTTTATACCTTACCGGATAATGGCAACGCCCACAATTCCCGGTGTCGGTCTACCGTACGTAGTTTTGCGCATGACATGTTGCATCCTGGATGTTAACACCAATCCAAAATTTCACACAAAATGTGACAGCCGGCAGCTTACAGCGTTTGTGGTGTGTTTTAGGTACGTGTAGCGGGTTTATGCCGCAACAGATGACCGGGAGAATGGCATGAGCAGCATGAGCAATGGCAGAGCCCGCTGCCGCCTGGGCCCCGCCAGAGCGCATCTTCACGTCCCCGGCACCGGTGCCGCCTCACACCGTCACCCGCGCCTCACAGCGGCGGACACCACACGCACCGCTGCCCCATACGCTCGGGGAACACGCGGTAGCCGTCGCGGCGGCGCGGCGCCGACTGAACGCCGGCAGAGCGCGGCGCTGCCCAGTCGGCGATGATGGCGTCAAACGAGCCGCTCGACCAGATAATGGAGACTGATGACACGATAAACAACGACAGCGCCCACGGCTTACAGGGTAAACATTCACGACAGGTGCGAGGAATGGCGTGCACGTAAGACTAGAAGTTTTGGAAACTTACTTTGGGTGAGTCTCCAGCCAAGCAGCCTTTGACAGCAGGGATTCAATCACAATGTGGGAGATGTTGCTCTTACCTCTTCAGTCTTTGCCAAGTTGCATCGTGTGTCGCACAGCTTACTCTCCGTTTCCATGAGAACAGCCACCTTCTCCTCCAGAGCAGTTGTCTTCTCCGCCAGCGCCGTTTTCAGATCGACGAAAATAGCCTGGACATCCACGCCAATCATGAACATCGAATAGCCGTGTGCACAAACTTAAACGCTGGCGGCACGGAACCATTGATCACGGCCGAGGTCCAGATGCAGCCCAGCACGCTGGCTGGGCCAGCAGCGCAAACACGGCAGTCACGTAACGAGGATAGCCGACACACATTACCAGCACATCGTTGACGTCAGATCCACATTTGGCCGGTACTGCATGCTGTCTGACCACCGTAAAACGCGGCCTGACAGGCAGTGGCCAGTCCAGGCACGTAAAAAAGCACGCCCAATGCTCAATAACTAGTCACGCCGTAAACGCGAAAGGCATCGTCACATACTGCGAGAAGAAATACTGGACCACTAGGCATGCCGCCCGCGTCAGCGCCGAGCTGACAGCGGCGGTGCTGGCCACCCAGAGCGAGCGCGACACGCGTCCACGTCAGCTGGTGAGCAGTGAGTGCAGCATGTCCCCCCCCCCCCCGCCCCTCACTGCCTCTCTCCCGCACAACTGCACGCTGGCGGCCGGCCGGCACACGCACCTGCTTCTTCTCAGACTCCTCCTGCAGCGCGCGGATGTGGTTGACCTTCTCCACGATCTCCTGCTCCTGCTGCTCAATCTTGCCCAGCATCGAGTTGTAATTCTCGGGCGCCAGGTACACGCCCGTCTGCTCGCGCGTGGCCAGCAGGTCCCGCCGCAGCCGCTCAATCTCCTCCGTGTACTCCTGCCGGGGGACGGGTCGGGTCAGGTCAGGCCTCAAGGCTTCGGCGTGTCCGCCAACCCGTGCTGGAACGGTTAGACCGGGCTTGATCTCTTCCGTGGAGTCCTGCCGGGGCAAGCTAGGACACGTCTAAGCCCACACAATCCGTCTATTGGGTTATCCAAACGGACGAGGTCAAGTCACTTTGACTGACTTTCCGAGACAGCTGCCAGAACTTGTATCGCACACGGAGCGCAGGCAAAAAGAATGACAGCGCGGGAGACAAGCGAGAGGCACGCCAGCACGGATGTCAGTTTCGGCATCTCCACCTAATATTCACGATACTTACCTCTCCCCCTCGTCACGCGGCGGGGGGGGGGGGGTATGGATTCAGGAGACCCCCTCAGGCCAGGCCCGGCGTAGGGGCAATACCTCACCTCAAGAACGCAAGAGCCCATGAGAAAAAAAGACACGACGAATCCCGTTCGAAGCCCACAACGATCGCGCACCAGGAGCGCCGCTCGACCGCTGGCGTAGGCTGGCGGTAATCTCCCCGGTGACAGGGACACTGACAGCGCCGTCCCAGGACCGCAAAAACCACTCCCCCAGCGCGCTACCAGCCGCCGCCCTTACGCCTGCACACAACAGGAGAACAGAGCCGGCCAGCTGCCGCAGCGGCCGCACCTCATTACATGCAAACGGCGCCGGTGCTCCGCGGCCGGCCGCGCCTCTCCAACTGCGTGAGCGTCGCGGCGGCGGCGACAGCGGCGCTGTCGGCGCGCCGCCGTCGCCGGTGGGCGATCCGGCGCCGTTCGGCTGACGCGGCGTGCGCGCCAGTCAGTGACCGGCGAGCAGGGCCGGCGCTCCCACGGCGTCGGGCCGCCGCAATGGGCCGCGTTCGCGCGGCCGGCGGCGCCGGCCGCCGTCCGGACGTGCCGGCCGCGGCGACGCCCGGGAGCGCGGCGCTCGAGGGGCCCGGCAGCGGTGCCGCCCCCGCCACCGGACGCTGGCACACCAGTCAATCACGGGCTGCAAGCCAATCCAGCTGCCGGCTGTTTCAGCCGGCTGGGAAGCTTACGTTGATCCCATGCCACATTCATTGGGACAACATCAACGAAGATTTCGATCGGAAATGCGGCGGTTGGAGCGCCGCCAACCCCCACATGGCGGTAATATTGCCATTAATGACCTGGTTCACTTTCGAAACTTATGCTTTCGTAGCCGGCGGTCGCCCTAAACGCCGTCAGGTGCTGGCTGGCCGGAAGGCGTCGGATCGGGTTATGACCATCACGGCAGCACAGCTGCAGCCGGGCGGTGAGTCACCATCTGGCCGAGCCTGTCGCTATTCCAATCACACCCCATGTTGAGATACGAGCGTGCGAAGCGGCGCCGACTGATGGCATGTTTACCGGCGCGGCGCAGGTCACGCCTCGCTCCACCCGCCGGCTAGGCGAGGTCGAGCCGGGCCGCTCTTACGCTTAAAACTGACAGCAGACGCGCCCCAGACTAAGCGCACTCCCACGCTGGCGCCCGCACACCACACCAGGGTCTGCGCACTGACGGCGGGCCGCGCCAGCTTCGCGCCCACCGCAGCGAGGAGGTACAAACATCTTCTCACATCTTTGAACTGGAAAGGGCTATAAGAACGAACGAAAAGCATTCGGCAGCTCACGCAAAACCGAACACAATTGTCTGTGGTCATTTTGATGACCGAGATCAGGGTAAGTTGGTATCAGGTCAAGCGCTACGTGGTTTTGTTTGATAGGGTGTTCTGCAACCGCGTCTCCGAGCTTATCTCTGCGCGTAAATCTCTCACATATTATAAGAATTGCATACACGTCACAGTTAATAACTACGAGTGTTTGGGAAGAGACATCATAGGACATCGGGCCATCCGTTTCCTTTGAACGAGAAATCCCTGCGCAAACCAACTGTATTCGTTTTTGACTGGGAGCAGACATGGAGGTCTTAAAAGCGATTTGAAGAAGAAAGAACACCTTTAAAGATCATGACAGGTCAAGCGGGTCGCAATCCCAAAATGGGATATTTGATTTATCATTATCACTTAAAGAATCATTACTGGCACAGAGTGATGTGGCTACTGGCGTCGAAAAATACCGACAGCATAACACAGCTCCTAAAAATACGGACCTCCAGCCTAGGGAAGGGAAGAGATCTACGACATTTGACGTCTCAGTGGCACCCACAGGTGAAGAAATTATGCTGTTGTTCAGGAAGTGCATGGAACCAACAGAAGACACTAGTAGAGTAGATGTTATATGTAGATAGTAGATAGTATATGTAGATGTATATGTAGATGTAGATAGTAGAGTAGTAGACACCTGTGATCGGAGCTCGTAACGTCGTAACGACATTGGGGCTTTACGACGCACTCAACTGCTGGGGCTATATGGCGTCGCCTGCCTCTCACCCTGGCAGAAAGGGCGGGCACCGTGGGGAATCGAACCCCGTACCACTGGTTTCCCAGACG